TGGTAGCCCAGGCTGGCCTCGAACTCACAGAGATCCGCCTGCCTCTGCCTCCCGAGTGCTGGGATTAAAGGCGTGCGCCACCAACGCCCGGCCTCTATCAAGAGTTCTTAATGGGGACACCATAATACTTGTGAAGCCGGTGATAGAACCTGTATCTGCATTCTCTCTGCAGGGGGCGGGGTGGGGTGGGGTGGTGGCAATGGGATTTCTAAGACTCTCAAAGTCACTGACTGGGGATATGTTACTTTATAGAAAGTGGTTTTTAAAAGGCTTGTATTTTTCACTTCTTCCCAGATAATTCAGAAGGAAACAGTTGCAAGTTACCTCCCAGGAAAGGCTAAGGTACCCATGCCTGTGGTGTTCCATATGAAAACCCCAGAGATCCAAGATTCACTGAGTTTCCATTGTATATTAGACCAACTAGCTGACAAGCCAGCCATCCTGGCACCTGTAATTTGTTAAGTCCACCATGTTTGTTCAGCCCCTCTCTCTGGCTATAGACGGAACTAGGAGCCTCATCTCAAATTTACAATGAGCATACGTTTGAACACAATGAAGGGAGTTACCAGTGAAGGAGCGAGAAGGACATACATACCAAGTGTAATTCCATTAGGCCATTGGATATCCTCAGTCACCAGTGGACGTCTATCAAATCCATTCATCCCTGCTTTTTCTATTTTAGCTGGCTCGCCCCAGTCTGACCAGTAAACAAAGCTGGGAAGAGTTAAACCAGAAACGTGCCTTAGTGGCTAAGAAGAAAGAAAGCTGTGACTTAAATCCAAAGCTTAATGGGGGCACAGAAAACTCTTGTGCTTGAGGCTCTCAAGATAAAGGCTGATGTTTAAGGCTCTAACTATGTTTTGTGTACATGAAATTGAACAGCGAGAATGGACAGGGGTTGGAGGCTCAGCTCGGTGGTAGAGCACCTGGCTTGCCATGCATGAGGCTCTGGATCTACTCCTCAGAACTACAGGAGACAATAATATAATGTCCAGGTAATAGCTGTGTTAGTCTGTGTTGGTCTGATGTGTAAGTATCAGCCCAAAGTCCCAAGGTTGTGCATTTCCTTTCTGAAGGCATATTCTTTCAGATCTATGAAGGATGCCTTTTCTGTAAGCTCTATAGAAGGAGCTTGGGGATTATGTTCTGATAATATTTCACAGGGACCAACTGTGATGACTATAGTCGACTTTTTCCAAGCTGCCTGCCTTAGTGAACCATTTTGACAATAGTCTGTTCCTTTCAATTGAACTTTCATACAATTTGCATTTTTAGATGGAAGCCTTGAGGGGACAGGGTTATACAAATACCAGTGTTTTCTTTGAGTCCTGGATTTGACTACCCAGAGCTAACCAACCCAGCAAATTGTTCTCTCTCTCTCTCTCTCTCTCTCTCTCTCTCTCTCTCTCTCTCT